ACATAGTAATAATTAGTTTTTTATTTTGACTATTTACAGTGTCGTCAAGTATAGTAGGGTAGTCCTAGGAACAATTCCTATAAGAAAATTAGGTATTTAGTTTGATCTTGCATAAACATAAAGTTACTGAACTGGAATGCAGTCTGATTTACATGCCAGAACAAATAAACCATTGTAATTTATATCACTAATGGTTATATTCACATGTTGATTCTTATTCACAAGTAGAACAATTCCAGATTGATTTAGAATACTATTATTTAGAATTGTTGTAAGTATGAGAAAGATCATAGGATGAAAAATGTAGAATATGGAAAGGAGTCATCCATTAGGAAAATATATGCAGTTCAGGAATGTTTGAGATCAGATGGCAGCTTAGGATATTCATTTCTCAAACTCAAATTTAATATTCAGGATGCTAGTCAGGTTACATATGGGTAACATTATAGAAAGACTGAAGGCTAATTTGTTGTGTAAGTGTTATTTATAATAGTAGTTTTGGAAGATAATAAAATATTAAAGAAGTCTTGTCTTATGGCTTTCCTTAGAGGACTTAAAAGGCTGGCAGAGTGGTAGTATCTAGTTTTTTTTTTCTGTAAATTATAGTCTTTCTCTACTTTAACTTTAATAGAATAATTAGGTGATATTATTTGTTCTTGGGCATTATTTAATGCTTATTTTTCTTTGTCTGTAGCAGCAAAAAGCAAGGATCAAAAAGAAGGTTGGTTGAGTTTAGTAGTGAAAGGTATCTGTATCATATGTAGTCAATCATTCTCTTTCTAATGGTAGAAAATTCAAGATCTATATAGGCATTAGTGAGCAATGTTATGTGATAAAGTGGTGTGTAATGATGGAGGATTTTGGGTCTGGCATAATTAGTTTTATATTGCATTTGTTATTCAGCTTTTTTTGTAATATTAATTTTTAATGCTGTTGTCTTTTATATTATTGTAAAAGCAGAAAATAGGAACATAACAGACATAAGGAAAGAGTTCTTGAAATTTAACAGGCAGCAGAGGAAAGTTAACACTACAGTGCAAAATAAAAGGTGGAAGGTAAAAGGGACAACTAACCATAAAAAGATAAATATTCTTTCTCATAAAAAGATAAAAACAAAAGTGCATGATGCCTGCTGTTCCTTTCACATGTCAGTTTTATTTCATTCATCACTCTCTCTCTCTCTCTCTCTCTCTCTCTCTCTCTCTCTCTCTCTCTCTCTCTCTCTCTCTCTCTCTCTCTCTCTCTCTCTCTCTCTCTCTCTCTCTCTCTCTCTCTCCTCCCTCCCTCCCTCCTCCCTCCCTCCCCCCCCCCCCCTCCCTCTTGCTGAAAGCTTGTTTCTTTGATTATATTATCCTGCAGTGTTGCATTACTGTGTATTGTGATTTGTTATCTACATCAACAAGTCCTTTTTTTTTCATCTATTTGGCAAATCAGTCCCTTTATAATGCTTTTTTATATATATTTCCTTTATGTATTTGTTTACAGAGAAACTTAGTGTGGAGTTATTTCTCTTTTTGCAGACTAATATAATGTTGCATAAATGTTACCGGCCTTTGGCTACCTTAACCCTTTGCAGATGGGGATGGCATGTACGTACATGCCATGCCCACTGTGAGTCAACTTGTTTGATTGTTTTTACACTTTGATGGCTACACTTGTACTAAGTCACCAGTGAGCCAATTATGAGTACTGCCTGTCTCACCTGTTCACCTTTTTCATCGATTTACGAAAATATTTAATGTTATCCTAATTTGCTGTTAAAAATAACACCATCTATATTTATAGCACTAGTAAGAATACGTTTTTTCCCGCCAATTCAAGGAAAGGTGAAATCAGGACTAGCAGGGCCATCTATGTATAGAGACATTTCACAAAAATGTAAAAATGAGTACAGCATTTTCCCCATTTGTTATTCGTTTTCCCCGGCGGCAATGTGTTAATTAGGTTCATTTTTTCACCTTTTATTTTTACATACCTAACTCGCAGTTCTAAGTAGTTTCATTGTGATTATCAGATCTTTCACAAAAAATAAACAATAGGGATTAAGTGCACTGTCAGAAACATAGGTGAAGGGGGAGATATTGAACAGATAGAAGACTTCAGAGTTTCAGTGAGTTATTAAAAGTAGATTAGTAGACACATGACAAAAGCTGTCCAAGTAGTTTAGCAAACAAATAGAGTATAGTTATTAAAAAAAGTTATTAGATAAAAAAAGTAAGATTGTTCAAATTGTTTTGTAAGGAAATTTAGGAATGGTATGAGTTATTATCTAGGAAAAAAAAGGTGGTTTGGTTTATTATAAGGAATATGTGTTCTCATTTATATTTTTTTTATTAGGTTTCCTTAACTCTAAACATCCTTGGGATGTTTTTTTTTTTCAATCAACAGAAACCAAACTTACAATTTTTGTAAGTGTTGGTTTAATTGAGTTCATTACCATTCAGTATGTATATATAAATGATCATTGTGGAAAAAAGAACATGGTGAAGTGAAAAATATGAAATATGTTTAAAGCGCTTCAACAAAAAACTTTGTTAATGTTTGCATTGAGTTCTAGGAGTTAATTTAATTTCTCAGAGGAAAAGTAATAGTCATCTATTTATACGGCTTGTATTTGGTAAATAAAGGGTATTGGTAAGCTAACAGAAATTATACATACAAATTTATATAGATATATATATATATATACACACATATCTATATATACATTATGTATATATAGATATGTGTGTGTTTGGTTGGTTGGTTGTTTTCCCCTTAATTCAGTTTCTCCTTCTATTATCCCTCTTCCTGACTGTTAAGAATGCAAATCAAGTCACTGATGATTACCAGAAGTTCATACATTTGATTGCTTATTCCTATGTTTTTTTCCCCTCAGCCGCCTGACGCTGAACTCTGAGTGTAGCAGAACCATAAGTCCTGTACAGGTGAGTTCAACCACCCCTGCACACACACCTGCTAATGCACTGCCTCAAACCACCTCAGGGGGGGTACTTGCTAAACCTTCTCCTAAGCGCAGTCCAATGCTCAAGTCATTCAGTCAGGACACTGATGCTTCCAACACACCTGACATGAGATGGAAGGTAGGCTGTGCTTCACCTCGGTTTCTGTAGCGTGACTCGTTTGGGTTGGTAGCGGCAGTAGTGACTAGAGCAGGTAGTGTGCACTCTTCACAAGGGATTACTGTGCAGTTTTCTGCTATACTGTGTGAATGGATACTTGTGGAGATGGTAATACAGTTTTCCAAACATGTTATTTTTTGTTTTTGATAGAACAGTAGTATATTTTTTTCAGTGGCTTGTTGTTTTATGTAGATAGACTGAGAGAGAGATGACAGATGGCTTTACAAGTGCTTAGTCACCTAGGAGTCAGTTACTAGATGTAACTGACCTTAGTTCTTTATCCCATTCATGTAATATTTTGGGAAAAAAGTTTTTGTTTATGATACTATTGTTATTGTAAACAATAATAAAAACTTTTAACATTATTATTATTATGAAAGTGATTAACAATGATAATAGAATTAGATACAAGAATGTTACTTCCATAGACTTCATAGAATGGGAAATCAGTTTGGATAATAACTGCCTCCTTGGTGACTAAGCATTTTAGGAGCCATCTGTGTGTAGCAAAATTAATAAGACAAAATCACACTGGGCAGGGTATGTATACATACGGTCTTGGTATCAGTGGCTTAAGGAAAATAAATACAGTACATGTTCAAAGTAAAATATATATATATATATATATATATATATATATATATATATATATATATATATATATATATATATATATATATATATATATACAGTAAGTCCCCAACTTAAAAACATAATGGGGACCGAGAGGCTGTTTGTAAGTTGATCTGTTTGTATGTCGAAAGTTGGGTCTCCATTATCTTTTTTCCCATTGTTTTAAAGTTTTGTTTACATTAAGAATACCTGTGAATAAATCCCAATAAGTACGACATACCTTATACAGTACCAGACTCTTGAACTATATTCATGCCCGGGAAATTTGAAGTTTGCTAGCATCTTTCAAACAATTTTTTGGACTTTAGTACTTTAAAAATTTTGTCTGTATGTATGGAATGTTCATAAGAAGAATGTTCTTAAGTAGGGGACTATCTGTATATATATATATATATATATATATATATATATATATATATATATATATATATATATATATATATATATATATATATATTATCTATGCCACTACACACATCAGGGTAGAAGGAGCATGCTTACATCGATTGCTTTACCCAAACAGTACTTACATATCTACTGATTTTAGTGTTTTCTACTTTTTTATTCTTCATTATTTGTTTGTTAATAGTTCTCTCAAGGTATTAATTTAGTATTCATTCAATTATTATATGGATATATATTTAGAATTACATAGACAGACTTAAATCTGATATGGAATATGGGAATTGACATGTTGAGTATATTTTGCATTTTCATATGAAAATAGATAAATAAAGTTTTAACCAAAAAATTATAGTACTTAGGCACATAATAGTACCATATTTCCCAGTAAATCTTAACAGTTTATTGTTTTTTTATTTTAACTAATTTTTGTTGGACTAATAGGTCAAGTTCAAAACATTATGCACTTTTGTATGGTGAATGTATAATAGTTACATGTACAAAGTGTGTAATTTTCTGCTTGGAACTCATTCATAGTTTTTAGTGCATGTGAGAAAATCTTTTTATCACACTGGTTGAAGAGTGCAGTTCCATAAAAGTTAGGGATGACGTAAGTATAACAGATATGGAGAGTTTACAGCAGAGTGGAAGCTTTTATGTTTTGATGTTGGTGATTGAAGATTTATTATCCTACTTTTGAAGGTTGTAAGTAGGTTGTAGCAAATGTCAATTTTAAAGTTTGAAAGAGATGAAGATATAGGACTAGGTTTAGATGTGTGGAGTCCTCCCTACCTTTAGAAAATCAGTCAGTCAGTCAGTTACTGGGGCTAAGGCTGAGGGGGATGCATTTCCACAGCCATGCATTTTCTCCAGCAATGAGGGTCCCTCTTGGTGAACTGCCTGACAAGTCCATGGCCCATCTCCACATCTTCACAGAAGATATGGGGAATAGCACTAGACTGTCAGGGCAGTGTGCAATCCATGTCTTGGACTTTAACAGTTTAGCAGAGATGGTTTAAATGCCCACTGCTTGGAGATTGCCACCCTAATTTCTGTCAGGGTGGGATGTTACTAATTAGAGGACCCAGCACTGGGCTCAAGTGACCTCCAGCATCCATGCTGTAGGATTCCCAATATGCTGTTCCTTTATTCTATCTCATTAGTGGCTGATTCCTAAACACCAAGGTTTGAAGTTTTGATCACCAGTGAGTTGAACCAACTAGCACGCATCTGTGGCTTATAGTGTCCCCTGCAAGATGAAGTTCTCCTGAACTGTATCAAGTACTTTGTGTATGAAGTTGGCTCCCAGTGCTGTATGGCCCAACAGGTTATTGAGTGTAATATAATCAGAGATAGCCCCAGCAAACCTTTGAGCATACTCTCCCTCCCTCAATCTGTCCAAGTGAATTGCTCTGGGGTGGTCACTGGATGGACAGAAGATTTTGAAATGGATGCAGAGAGTAGCCACAACCTATCTGTGAGCTGTACCACAAAACTCAGTACTCATTTAAACCCTACAATTTTGTAGGATCCTCCTGTGAGTGCTTACAAGGATGTGCTTGCTCATATTACCAGTATCACTGTATCTGGTACCAGGAACCAGAAATTCTCATTCTCTGGGACCTTGCAAAGCCCCAGAGCAGGAGGCTACTCTCACCACTGGTATCAGCTCCCAAGCCATGGGGACAGAGAACCACATTGTAGCCAGCTTGATACAACCAAATTCCATACAGACCACCCAAAACAATGCAGATATCCTGTTGAGGACATCACCAGCTTTGGTTCTCCCTATAGCAGTGGCAATTGATTATCCTGCTGCAAAGAGCAGATGTCCTATGCCCCCACCTCTTTGAGGTTAAACTTAAGTCAATCACTCATATTGGATGCTGCCTTTGGCATCCTCCCTAGCCTTGCCCCAAATAGCGGTAAGCAGTGAGATACAGGCACAGTATCAGCATGCAGATTTCCTGGGACTTTCCTGCACACACTTCACATTCCTTTGCTGTTGACTGTGACATACACTCCCAAACCTTGTCCCTTTGATCACCCTCCTAATATGACCTATAATCTGCCTTGATTGCTGGGAAGGAGGGAAATTTGCCCTCTCCTCCCCAGCTTTGCCATTTATTAGAGAGATTGCCAGTGGGTATCTCAAGGAGGCTATAAGCAAGAAAGTATGCAACCACTTGACACTTACTTGAGCTAATCACACCATAGCTTCACATCACCCTGAACATGAAGCACCCACTTCAAGGGAAAACAGATAATTTTCAGATTTGAAATTAAGATTTCCAGTATATACTATATAAGGTAGAAATAATTGACACATAATAGCCTCCCTCATTGCAAAATTGATATATAAATCCCATTCAGTAGGTGGAGAAGAGGGCCCACAAGATGTGGAAACACACACGCACATGCACACGCACATGCACACGCTCACCCTCACCCTCACACACACACCCCACCCATAACACTCTCTCTCACAATCACCACTCACTCAACCACACACACACACACACACACACACACACAGACACACACACACACACACACACACACACACGCATACACACACACACACACACACACACACACACACACACACACACACACACACACACACACTCTCTCTCTCTCTCTCTCTCTCTCTCTCTCTCTCTCTCTCACACTCACACTCACACACACACTCACTCTCTCTCTTTCTCTCTCTCTCTCTCTCTCTCACTCTCACTCTCACTCTCCTTCCCCCCCCCCCCCCCATGGAAATTGTTAAAATTATTAAAACATATTTTTGTACTCATTATTACAAAATTGTTCATTGGCTTCATGATAATAAACCACATTCAGTATGTAGATGTTCTCAAGTTGTGGAGGCTCCTGGGAAGGTGCCCACTTTACCCACTCTTAAATCTGGCCCAGTCAATGTGTCCAGCAGATTCTTTTTTATTTTTTATTTTATTTTGTTGCATGCGATTGTGCTTGTGTCGTTTGTAGTCCTGTTTTTTTTTTGTTTTTTTTTTATTCAGTGCATGATAACACTAAGAAAACATTTTTATTCTGTTGATTTATTGTTGCTTGTAAATATAGGAAAACATAATGTTAATTTACTTTTATTTTACTACATGGATGATATTTTATTGATGATATGCTTTGGGCACATACCTAAGAACACAATGTATTAACAGCATCTTTCAATATTCTCATCAGGAGCGTGAAAATATCTCTGCGAGTGAGCCAGCCTTGGATAGTCCCAGGACGTCCTTGATGCTCAACAAGAAGAAAGGAGCATCGCCATCCGAGGAAGGAAACTCCTCCGACTCCTCCATGATGGAAGAGAGACCCCCAAGCGCGGACTCAAGAAAAAAGTCCAAAAGTTGGTTCCGTAATGGCATATCTAGTAGTCTAAAGTTTAGTAGAAGCAAGAAACTTAAAGAAACAGAAAAAGAATCAAGTAAAAATAACACAAGTAAGACATAGATATAATTTTCTGTTGTAATAATTGTTGTTATTATTATTATTTTATTTTATTTTTATTTTTTTTCATTACCACTTTTTGGCTTTCTTTAGTCGGTTTACTTCATGGTGGTTGTCATGGAATAATTTTTTTTGTTCTATGCAGGGCTATCATTGCACAACCACACTTTTTATAGGAAAATCAGTAAGAAATCATTCATACCACGCTTTCCATTTATATGCATTGATAGATTTTTTTCTTTCCTTCTTTAGCTTATAGCTTTCACTTTCAGTTCACTAAATCAGTTTGCACCTTTTGTAATCAGCTGTAATGAGCTTATTCACAATGATTGCAAACCATTCTGATCAGGATTTTCTTATTTAATGAATGTCTTCCTTGCAGAGCATCTGTCTGCTGATTTCTGTCTTCATGCATCTCAGTATGCTATTTAATTAGCCTCTCTTTTTATTTAAGTCTGTGGACATCTGTGTCATATATCCTAATGCTAAAAATTAGGCTATCAAGTGTATATGTATAAATATGTCAACTTCCCTTTCTTATTATAGTAAAAAGAAAAAAAAAAAGAAATGGTTCTATTCCAGTTTTATTGTTTTTTTCCTTATTATAGGGTGTTTTCCAGTGATGCACTTTGCAAAACTATGCTAAGGGTAAAATTGATAATACCTTGTAAATTATTTATTTAACGAGATTTAGAAATCCATGTCTCCGTGGACTCTAAATTCAATTTAATGCTCTTATAGCACACTCTGAAAGTGATATATTGCTTGTCTTATACTGTTATGTAAGCCAGATTTTTTTTTTTATTATTAATTTAGTCATGAGAATCCATTTTGGTTTTGTACTGTGTGAATGTAATGGAAATTCCTATTGTTATTCCATTAGTCACTGTTATGCTTCCTTTTTTTTTTCTTTTTTTTTTCTTTTTTCTTTTTTAAAGTCTTCATATGTGATATTGATGATACTGAAGTGAAGAATGTTAAGATCTAAAGAAGCTTATAGATTGCCTCGTGAAAAGTCTGTTTTTTATATGAACTGCTTGTTTTACAGATTGAGAGTATGATTGCTTTTGAATAAATTGGGGCAGATGTGATTGTATTTAAAGCGTGTGGTCATGGCTCTTGAATATCATAGCAGAGGATGAAGAAGTTACAAAGACACTGACTGTCACAATCACATTCACAATCACACACTCACACACAACTCATACTCGTGCTTACACACAGACACACACACACACACACACTCACTCACTCACTCACTCACTCACTCACTCACTCACTCACTCACTCTCTCTCTCTCTGTCTCTCTGTCTCTCTGTCTCTCTCTCTCTCTCTCTCTCTCTCTCTCTCTCTCTCTCTCTCTCTCTCTCTCTCTCTCTCTCTCTCTCTCTCTCTCTCTCTCTCTTCCGCACTCGTTTTCACTCTCACTCTCACACTCACTCACACAATCCGTTTACCCTTCTCATACTCACTCTCTCACTCACACTAACATACACATGCATATTAGCAAAATTAAGGATCAATATCATTACTAAAGTTCTTGCTGATTATCCTGGACCAATGATGGTTTGCTTTACCAGTCTGGCAAGTTCCATGTAATTTACACTAATAGATATGGTGTGCGGTACTCTATTTAATAGTGTCCTCATTTCACATTGCATTGATTATTGGTTTTCTTGTTTACTTGTATTTTTTTTTTTTTTTTTTTTTCTTTTAGTTATTGTATATACTTTATTACTTATTTAGTCCTAGAGCTTTCTAAAGATCTGGCACAAGAAATTTAGATCTTGAGTGGGCAGAAGGTGAATCTTTCGAAGTTGGGATATTGAGAAAGAAATGTTATTCTCTTTGTAATTTAACCCAGTTGCCTCATTTGGTGAGAATATATACCATGTCTAACTGTAATATAAGTTTATTTATTGTATTTACACATAGATGGCTTTACAAGTTCTTCATCATCACCAAATAGCCAGTTATTAGAACTACTTATCTCACCTGTTTACCCTTTTCCTTCACTTTTGGAAAGGGTCTTTTGTATAATTTCATTTAAAAACCATAACATCAATAACAATAATAACAATATCGATAGCAATGGATTTAATAAGAAAAACACATTTTCCCGTCAATGCAAGGAATGGTGAAATCAGGATCGGTAACTAGGGCCGACTGATAGACTCCTTGCTGACTGAGCACAAGTGGAGTCATCTGTATGTAACAAAATTCACCAAAAACTACAGGGGACAGAACATAAATCTGTGGCAGTTGGGTTAAAGCTTTAGCCTTGGGAATAACAGGCAACATATATATGTGTGCATATATCTATATATCAATATATGTGTGTGTGTGTGTGTGTGTGTGTGCGTGTGCGTGTGCGTGCAAGCGTGCGTGCGTGTGAACATATAATATATATATATATATATATATATATATATATATATATATATATATATATATAATATATATATATATATATATATATATATATATATATATAATGTATATTTATATATATGTATATATATATAAAGTATGTATGTGTGTATACATATATATATATGTCTGTATGTGTGTATATGTTCATATATATATATATATATATATATATATATATATATATATATATATATATATATATATATATATATATATATATATATATATACATATATTATTCTCTGTGGGAATCTTCTGAACCTCATCCCACATTTTGCATGAATTCTTTGCTAGTGTATTACTTTTCTTATTCAAATATCATGAAGAGAAGAATACCAGACATAGGAAAATTTATAATGAATGTAAATGATTTTTTATGATGTTATTTAATTTCATATTTATGATGCCTATTTTTATATGTAGAAATAAAGTTTTGGAGTGTTTGATATGGAATTATTTCAATACTTTTTTTTTATTTGGTAATTGGAATGTATAGGATTCTGTAGTTCATTGTGATGTAGAATGTTCACCTCATGGTCTTAATTTCTTCACATATTACATTTGCCATGAATGGAAAATGCAATAAGATGATTTTTCCATGTAAAGAGATATGTTTTTTTTCGGGCATTTCATTATAGTATTTTAAATGTTCACAGTATTTCTATTTATAAGGAAATGGTGCAACATTTGAATGGCCCTGTCCTTATTAGGTATTATGTGTGAGACGGAAAACAGTATTTTATGGCAAAGTTGAATGAAACATGCATCCTATTGAAAGGGTATTTTGTAGAATATTTATTGATGTGTCATAAAAAATGTCTATGAAGCATATTCCTGTGCTTCTTTCATTCCTTCTTGTTATTTTATACAAAAAATTAATTGTTTTGGATGTGAGAGTAAAACTGTTACTATCCATTTAGGCATTGAGTATGTATTATAGAGCAGGCTTCTGTTTGTGTTACTAATGAAATACAATTTTAGTATTACATTTGTATGTTACAATTATTATTGTTATCTTCTCAGTCTGGAAGCGTAAGAACAGTGGTACTATTGCGCATGTCCAAGGCTAAAATGTGCTTTTTTTATATCATACTTCAATCATTAGATATTGTCGATACAAGTGAAAATATCTTGTGCTCAAAAGTTCACATCAGCATTACTCTAATGACAATGTAGTTAATTTCTGTGAAGTTTAGATACACTACTAATCTATTGCACAATGCTTTATTTATTAGAACTGAGGCAGTTGATTTTCACTTAATAAAATAATCTCTATTTGTTGCTTTGTAAATGATGTATATTATTTATGAGAATGTAGTAATTAGAAAACCACAAGACCAAAAGTAAACCATAATACACGTCCCACTGTAGTTTCATATTAGACACCCTCACAACAGAATTCAATGTGATGATAATGTAATAATGACAATGGTACTGACAATATATGTATGATATTTATAGATGCACTATGTAAGGGAGAATCAAGTTTCTTTACTTTGTTGCATTGTAGTTACAAAATGATTGTATACATTGTAGAGTGACTTTGTCCATGGCAAAATGTAAACAGACTTATTTAATTGACAGCCATTTTGGTCTAATGTATGGTGATGAAAAAGAAAGTTTGAGTACAAAGATGAGAAGATAGGAAAGTTGTTGACAAAAGAAGTTATAATAAAAAAATGTAAACCTGCTACTGTTTACTTCATATCCTTTTTATGTATATGGAAGCTTATGCAGACATTGCAGAGTGAGCTTAATGACATGCATCTGTATCCCAGCTAGTCTATAACTGCAGTATTTGTCTGCTACTTAACCTGTTATATATGGACACATCAGTTTCGGCGTCATAAAGCACCAGTGGAATGCACTGTGATGCCAACGTTGACATCATAATTCCATTGAATATTTTAGTTGCTGCTGAGTGATCCCCATATTCTCTTGTGGCTCTGTTATTTAGACTCCGTATATTGCCCCTAGAAATTCTAGCTCCATCCACCATCACTCTTCCCACCAGTCACATAAATCAGCTAGACTATGCCCCACCCTCTACCCAAAATGAGAAACAATTATTGGTAGCGTCTACATCACAGTTTCCCCCTCTGTGGTCCTACCGTTGTCCTCAATATCCCCCTATCCCTGAGAGAGAGAGAAAGTGAGAGAGAGAGAGAGTGAGTGAGTGTGAGAGTGAGAGTGTGAGAGTTTATCTTCGGTTACCCTGAAATGAACTTGAGGCTTCCTCAAATATTTCCTTGTAACATTCTGTGTGTGAGAGAGAGAGGACGAAACTGTATTAGATAAGAAACGCTCAGGATGACATATTCAAAGATACAGCTAGCAGATGAGCACCCTGTATGCAAGGAATGTGCATCTTTTATACTATCCCTAGCAAACTGGTTAATCTGTTACCTGTTTATTCCTTTTCATATCATTTAA